GATGGACGGAGTGCAGACAAAACGCGCCAAAACGCCGAATTAGTTCCCGGCGTCCTTATCCATTCCTTATGCATTCCTAATCCATTCACTTCGCACAAGGGTTAGATGCGATGTACTCAATAGCATCCCGACAGGAGAGCAATTTATCGGCCTCTTTGTCTGGGATTTCAAAGCCAAACTCCTCCTCGAAAGCCATCACCACCTCAACGGTATCCAGACTGTCCAGGCCCAGGTCGCTGATGAAATGCGCCTCCGGCGAAATTTTGTCCTTTTTCGCCTTGTCGAACTTCCTCACGACCGACAGCACTCTGTCCGTTACCTCTTCCTTGTCCAGATAGCTGCCTTTGGCAGCATGCTCTCCGCCAAAGAAGCGACGAAGAGAGAGGGTAGGACTAATTAGCACTGCGGCGCAGGCGGCCGTCGGCACTGCCGCTGCTGACGTGGCAGAGACATCCCGCACTGCCACGTGGCGAAGAATGGCACCTCGAGCCCCCGCGAGAGCTGATCGCACAGCGCTCTGCATCGTCTTGTTAGCTGTGCCCAAGCTCCCAGCGCAGCGATGTCCTTCTTCCCGAGATTGGCGCCAAAGGAGCCGGCGGTGGGTAGACGGCGTGAATCGGCGGCGGGCAGATGGCGGGAATCGGCGGCGGGCAGATGGCGGCAACCGCAGCAGAACGCCCGGCGACGGCGGGATTAGCCAATAGTGGTGGCGGAACACAGCGGGCCGGGGGATGGGAAACCACGCGCGCGCGTGTCGGCGGCACCTGCTGGCCGCTTGACGTCTTCGCTTGTCCCTCTCTCCTCCTCTCTCCTCCCTCCTCCCTACCTCCCTCCGCCTACCCCTTCTACCTCACAGCTGATCCAAGGCTTCGCCGACTCTGTCCACTGGATGTCGTTCACTTCACTCACCTAAGCGGTTCCAGCAAGACCAGACCTGTCGACTCTCTGCCCTTCTCCTCGGTTCGTCGCGTAGTTGGCTGCGTTTCATCCACTCCTCTCTGTCCACGTGTCGAACTTCCGTAGCACCGATCGAGGACAACTCATGCCATGGGCACGGACACCACAACCATGCTCTGCTAATTCGGATTCGGACTTCACTCGATTGGTATTATTCCTCGCTTGCCTTCGTTCTCTTTTTGTTACAAGAGCCGAACCAGTCCTTGCTAATTTGGGTAAGTTTAGGTTAGTGGGTCCGTCAAAATCGTTTGTAATTTGGGTAAGTTTAGGTAAGTGGGTCCGTCAAATCAAAATCGTTTGTTCCAAAGGGGTCGAGTGTGACCAACCCCTTTTAGCAAACTTTGCATATATGCTATTTGTGCAAGCAAGTACGATGAAGTTAGGATAGGGGATAGGGGATAGGAGATAGGGGATAGGGGGTGTGCTGAAACAACCATCGGCTGCCAGCGATCACCGCATGTCTAAGTCCTTGGCCTCCCTCTACAACACCCTGGGCGCTACGGGCACGCCCATGCGTTATTTCCTGGTTACGTAATCACGAACATCCTCCCGGACCTCCCCCGAGTCGGTTATGAGTACAAACACGCCTGCTACAAGGCAAAGAACTCCCTGCTTGTTTCGTTCTCCAACACAGGAAACCTTAGGGCTGGGGGTGCACCGGGACAACCATGGGCTGCCGCTGCCAGTGATCACCGCGGGTCTAAGTCCTTGGCCTCCCTCACAACACCATGGGCGCTACGGGCACGCCCATGCGTTATTCCCGTGTTACGCAATCACGAACACGGTCTCCGACCCCCCCGAGTCGGTTCTGAGTACAAACACGCCTGCCACAGGGCAAAGAACTCCCTGCCTGTTTCATTCTCCAACACAGGAGACCTCTGAAGCTAAGCTAAAGACTGCTCTTCGGCGTGTGAGGAATATACGGGGTGGGGCAAAGCCTCCTGAAGCAAACTGGCTGGCGCCAGCCAAAGAGGAAAATCTGCTGGTTCATTTTCCTTCGGCGCACGGAAACCTCTGGCAAAAGGAAGCCTCCAGTTTCTGGCAGTTCAGGACCTCGTTGCACACCGCTTCACTTCCCTTGAAAGTCAAAGGCAGCCCTGCGGCCCAAGTCCCAATTGAAAAACACTAAACAGATGGAAGCAACAACAATTGGCCAACCACAAACGAGAGCACCTCAGGGAGCATTAATGGTGTCGAGTGCATCGGTACCGACAGGGGAACCCTCCCAGCCACATCGCGCACGAGTTCGTCGCTTGTACGCAACATAGTGAAGGAGCATTGCCGCTTCTGGCGAGTGTGCCATCTATGCCTCTCATGGATTCCTAATCCGGTGTTGGTGGTCCATGCACAAAAGTATTTACCTATCTACATTTGACTGCAGCCGACCCTAAATGTCTGGTGCATGGGCAACTATCTCAAGATACTATCATTGACCTGTTAAGCCTCGGATATCTACTTTCATCGGAGTTTGAGCTCAGTCATGCACTTTCGACAGTTTATGAGGTGCATCGACCGAGCTACCCTCAATGTATATTATCGTCCTTGCACAAGGAACACGCTAACATTCTTTGTACCATTCGTATTTTAATGCTGCTTGAAAGACCAAACATTTGGAAAATTACTTGCGGTTCATAACCTATTTAGCAACATGAGCTGCTTAGGACTCGAATAGGGATCTGCGTCCCAACAGCTCAATAATGTATCCACCAAGCATGAGTCGGTCATCAATAGTTTACGTATGCACCAATTGAGCAAAGCCCAATTAACCACCCCCTGGTTAGTATGCGCCATACTCGCGCAGGGGTCATATTAATCTTCTCTGTTTCGTTCCAATTTTATTAGGCGCCCTCCCTAAAAGGCACGGTCCCGGGGTAACCCTACCAGCCTCATATATTTTAACAGCTCACATATCTACGAATTGAGTTAGGTAAACTAGTCCGATCACGACTTCGAGGCTTCTTATAAGATTTCAACATCCAATCCTACTAGCATTCCAATGATCCGATAATATTTGTCTACCAAACACAACTTTGATCGGGTATACTAGCAACAGTTTGACCCGAAAGTTGGCGAGAATTAAACATAATTTAAAAAAAAAAGTAAAACTATAAATAATAATGATACTAACAACAAAGAAACTTATATATGTTTGTCTCCTCCTATGTGTGAGAAGTCATGAGTCTAATCTTGTGGTTATGATAAGAATTATATTGAATTCCTTTGCATCATACGTAACTCGAGCAACATCCTTAAAGACATATGAACAGATGCATATTTGAACTCTGTCACCTAACTATTGCTTATTCGTGTAGTTTGAAGATCATGTGAAAAACATTGCTCTAAGACTTGTCACTTGGCAGGCATACACTAACAATAGCCCAAGGGCATGTAAGAAGACATGCCCTTAAACCTTGCTATGTCGAAATGCCTATTATTTATAACCTCGAAAAACAGACTTAAGGTCGGGAGTCGAAACCACACTTTTGCCATCCTCCTACTACCACGGCTACCGCCCGTTGATAAACTTAAGAAAAAAATGTGCCTAAGACCTTTAAATACACACCGTTTTTATTCCACCGCACAGACTCCCTAACCCAATAGGTAGTGTGACGATTTTATACGACAGAAATTCAGGTTCAAACTATTCTTTCTGAATCCTCCGCCACTGGTACGATCAATCCTTTGAAGCTTTGTCCGGCCTCCTCATTGGTTTACCCCTCACAATCTGCTTGAGAATGTTGGTGGTTTTTTTCATCCTTTTAACAGATGCTACCGACCTCGCGACCACACAACTTATGCTCTACTATAACAATTTTATAGTTATCTCTACCCTGGTCACACGATCGAGGCCCATAATAATTATTACGACACGTGTCAGTTCCAACCGCGATATCTTATCTAACTTTCCGTCATAATGTCACTGCATTATTGCGCCAACATGCATATCAGGACAAAGTCCGCCTCACTCATTCGTCATAACCAGTATAATCATGACGAAAGCACAACAAAGATAAACATGGTAGTGTTTTCATTTGCAAAGGCGGTGCATATTCTACTTAGTTGTTCTATGTGACTAAGTCTGCATCACTTATTCGTCGTATGCTCGAAAGGAACGCAAGGATCATCGCGATAGTGTCCTTGCAAGGGTAGTGCTTACTGTACTTGGTCGTTCTATAGCATTTTGTTGCACCTCGTGCGACTCGCAAATACCCTAACTAGTACCTTTGTAAGGGTGCTCATACAACAGTTTATGTCGTTTGGTCTAACTATATACAACGTCCATTGAAAAACTCAACTATAAATTAAAGCGACTTTTATAACTTTCGGGCTTAGTCCGTGGCGGTTAAACCAACTTATTTCGACCAAGCCTCAACCACTCTACTTTCCGGGTAAAAAAATATTTTTCCAACCCATTGAAAAATAGAAAAAGCAGTGTTTGGAAATTACTTAGGGGTAATTTTTACAACGGTTGATCATTATTGAATCCTTCAAAATTCGTAGGATTGGTACTATCACGACCTCGTTGAAAAAAATGTTTATTTAGACCCCATAGGATCACCCCCAAGGCGCAAAACTATAAGCACCCCTTCAGGCTTAACCTCTCATGGACTCCTATGAACTTATCTTCTTGCTCCTCAAGACTCGGAGAGATAGATAGAGATAGATAGATAAATAGATAGTCGAGGAAAGAGAGAGAGAGAGAGAGAGAGAGAGAGAGAGAGAGAGAGAGAGAGAACGGGCAGATATACAGAGAAACAAAGACAGACAGATAGAAACAAAGAGTAAGAGACAAATAGAAACAAAGAGTAACAGACAGACAAATAGAGAGAGAGACACACACACACACACACACACACACACACACACACACACACACACACACGCACACACAGAGGTGCACACGTTGGATATTGCCTTGAGGTAGGTTGGACCCAGTCCTCTCCTTCTCTATTAAAACCTTTACTTTTTTTACTTTTTTTTTTCGTATTTTTCTAAACGGACGTCCGGTGTTAAACCCCCCCCCCAAAAAAATATTTCGGGATTTTTTAACTATTTTCTGGCCCTTTCAGAAAGCCAAAGAGGGTCATGCTGAGACTATTTTTAATTTTGAGAGAGAGAGGAAAAA